GCATCTAGGCTGCTTCCAGTTTCTGGCTATTACAAATAGTGCTGCTATGAACATCATTGAACAGATGTCTTTGTTGTATGAATGTGCTTCTTTTGGGTATATGCCTAAGAGTGGAATTGCTGGATCTTGTGGTAGACTGTTTCCCATTTTCTTGAGAAGTCAACATACTGATTTTCAAAGTGGCTGTGTAAGTTGGCACTCCCACCAGCAGTGGAGAAGTGTTCCCCTTTCTCCACATCCTCTCCAACATAAACTGTCATTGGTGTTTTTTCATTTTAGCCATTCTGACAGGAGTAAGATGGTATCCCAGAGTTGTTTTGATTTTCATTTCCCTGATGGCTAAAGATGCTGAGCACTTTAAGTGTCTTTCAGCCATTTTAGACTCCTCTGTTGAGAATTCTCTAGTTAGTTCTGTACTCCACTTTTCTGTACCCCTTTTAATTGGATTGTTTGGTGTTTTGGAGACTAGCTTCTTGAGTTCTTTGTATATTTTGGAAATCAGCTCTCTGTCAGATGTGGGGTTGGCGAATATCTTTTCCCAGTCTGTGGACTGTCATTTTGTCTTGCTGACTGTGTCCTTTGTCTTACAGAAGCTTCTCAGTTTCAGGAGGTCCCATTTATCAATTGTTGATCTCATTGTCTGTGCTACTGGTGTAATGTTCAGGAAGCAGTCTCCTGTACCAATTAATTCAAGGCTATTTCCCACTTTGTCTTCTAATAAGTTCAGTGTGGATGGATTTATGTTGAAGTCTTTGATCTATTTTGACTGAAGTTTTGTGCAGGGAGAAAGGCTTGGGTCTCTCTGTAGTCTTCTACATGTTTGCATCCAGTTATGCCAGCACCATTTATTGAAGATGTTTTCTTGATTCTGTCGTATAAATTTGGATTGTTTGTCAAAAATCAGGTGTTCATAGGTGTGTGGGGTAATATCCGGGGTTTTCAATTCTATTCCATTGGTCTACCTGTCTATTTTTGTGCCAGTACCAAGCTGTTTTCAGGACTATAGCTCTGTAATAGAACTTGAAGTCAGGGATGGTGATGAGGGGCATCTTTTTTACAAAGCTCCATCCTCACCAGGCTCCATCAGTGTCTCTCCAAAACCACTCAAGAAGGGCGTGAGTTTTCCTATGGTGACTTAAGCTGTGAAGCGAGGGCTAGAAATGGTGTGAATTTCATTTTCTCTTAGCAATTCAATAGGACCAGATAGATCTCCAGTGTCTGAAATAGGGAGTGTTAGTAGTGAGTGTAAGTAGGGTGAAGAGGTAGGACCCATGTGTGCATTAGATGAAGATGAAAGAGACCAGGCCAGTCATAGGCTGCAGAAACTGAATTTCTATTTTATTTTAAATTTAAAAAGTTTTTTTGATGACTGTATTTACTTATTTTCCACCCTCATCCCCACTGCAACTCCTCATTGTATCCCCCACTCCCTCTCAAATTCATATGTCCTTTAATTATATCATTACTCGTATGCATACACACATACACATAACCTACTTTGTCCATTTAGTGTTACTTGCATGCACATGTATGTACTTGGGATAGGATAACCTATCAGAGAGTTTGTCCCTGGAGAGAAACTGATTCTCCCTCACTCAGCAACCATTGATTGTCTGTAGCTCTTCATCTACATTAGGGACCTTGTGAAATGTCCACCATTTAAATTGCCATGTCAATTGGTGACACCATTAGGTAGGTCTTATGTAGGCAACCATGTAGTTGAGATTTCACGGATGAAGCTTCCTTTTCATGTTGAGAAGAATAAATTAAATTTGCAGGTAAATGCATAGAACTGGAAAATGTTATGCTGAGTGAGGTAAACCCAGACCCAGAAAGACGAGTGCAACATATTCTCTCTTACTTGTGGATCCTTGGATTTGAGTATATAACCTGAAATAACCAAAGAAGCTGGGAAGTAGAAAGGGATCATGGGGAATGGGGAGGAGCCTAAATTTTTAAATCAAAGCGGAATTCGCTGGAGTATCTCACATTGGAAGTGTGGCTGCTGCATGAATGAATAATGTCTGGTAGGAAGGAGAGGGAAGCTATGCAATCATAACCAATGCACTGAGGATGTGTCTTGTCTGGATTGTTGTTTAAAAATAGCAGTTTGCATTTTCAAGCTGGAATGACTTTTCATGTAACTTATTTTATGAAATAAGGCTGCATTGGTTTGTCTCCAGATATCTAAAAGTCAACATCCATGACAGAGCACAGTTAGTATTGGTAACCCAAGCTATTCCTCATATTGTATTCCCTGCCTCAGTTAGGAATTTTAACATTTTTTGTATTTTGTTTTTGTTTTTGTTTTTGGCTTTGAACTTGTGACCCTTGGAGCTAAAGCTTCCAAGTGTTGTAATTGTGAGTGTGTATCAGCCCACTCAGCCTTTTCTTTTTTGGGGGGATGGGGTTCCAGACATGCTTTCCCTGTGTAGCCCTGGTTGTCCTGGAACTCGATCTGTAGCCCAGGCTGGCCCTGAATTCACTGAGATCCACCTGCAAAATGCTGGATTAGAGACCCACCACCACTTACCCACTGATTCCGACCCAGGCCTAATATCATCTGTTTTGTGACTACAGAGCTTGGTGACACCATGTCTTCACTTGGAGAAAAATGTGATCAATATTAAAGCGTTGTTTCTAAATGCTTAAAGATTGTCTCCTATTAGACTCCAGTCAATGTGACTTCAGCTTTGATGGCTCTATGCATGTGGCTGCAACTACCTGATAGTTATTGGTGGAAAAGTGACAAGTAGACAAATGCCATTGAGCACTCTTTTCTTTGCAGTCTATCCTTCAGCAGCTTCCAGAATGGAGAAGTTTGCGCTTACGAGAGTGTACTCATGTGAATCTATACGTTTTGCTTTGTTTTGTTTTGTTTTTCTTTTTTCCTTCCTGTGCTGTTCTGCATTTTTTCTTAAACGTAGGCATTGCATGAAGTATGGCCCCGGGGCTAAATCTGGCCCAATAGCTCTTTTTGTAAATAAAGTGTTATCAGAACAAGCTGCTTTCTTTCACTTCTGAATTGCATAGGATACATTTGAGTATGACCTGCAAAGGAAAAAATGCTGAAGTTGTAACTGAAGTTCGCTGACCTTTGCTGTGACCTGAGGAAGATGCTGCTAGCTGAGATCAGGGTAGGGCATGTGATGTCTAAGGACATTTTCAAAGTGACAGCTGTCAGGCCCTTTTATGGAGAAACAAATGCTAATGTTAATATTGATTATGAATATAGAAAAAAAGCTGGAACAAGATCTGATAGCTTTGTTTTAGTTATTATAATTACCTAAGGGCTTGTAGCATCACCCCTGGTCCCCTAGAGCCCCAAGAGTCCCTAATTGACCACACCCAAGTGACGATCTACTTTGAATTAGGCGTCAGTTCTCAGCTGTCTCTGGTCTCCAGGTGTCGTTCCTAGAATCCTTAGTTTAGAACAGTGGTCCAGAGCTCTGAGCTGTACTCCAGAATCATCTCCAGAGTTTAAAAGAGTTGTTTTCTAAAACTCATCTTAAGTCTCACCTCAGGCTTTTCCAATCTGAAGCTCCAAGGATGTCCTGCATTTTAAAGAGACTGATCTTAGCGCAGTGGTTCTCAATCTCCCTAATCCTCGTGTGCTGGTGACCCCCAACCATAACATTATTTTCCTTGCTCCTTCACAACTATAATTTTTCAACTATTAGGAATTGAAATGTAAATGCTTTTGGAGATAAAGGTTTGCCAAGGGTTCTTAACCCACAGGTTAAGAACTGCTATCCTCAAGTATGATTGGCTTGCTTTTTCAGCTAGCCCTTATGTGGGTTTTGGCTCAGGTGTGTTTTCCATGTTTGACTGCAGGTTTGACTCTAGGTTTGAAGCAACAGTTTGGTAGGGATTTCATTACATTATTAATTGTAAGAATCATTTTAAACTGGGTTTCTGTTTGTAGTGTGGCTACTGGATTTGTCAGCAGACTGCAATATAGCCTTCATCGGAAAAGCATGCCATATTCACTAACACAAAAGTCTTCCCATTTTTATAAGGCAAATTTGGAAACTGATATCTCAGTGTGGAAACCTGGCTGTGGTTCTGTATGTGAAACTCCTTTTCTTGAAGGGGACATGAATGGTTCACATTTGCCATTTGCACACAGAGTTCATAACACCAATTGGCTTCTGGAAGAGGAAATGGCATCGGGGAAGTCTTTTTTGGTTCTTTCTACACTGCTAAAGGGAGAACTCACCTCTTCTCTGGACAGTTAAAGGCCCTGTGGTCTGTATGTACTTTTGCTTGGAGATTAGTTTCTGGCCTCTACCACAGGATCCACATACTCCATCACTTGGTGTTTGTTTCTTTATTAGATTGATCTTTAAAAATGCCTTTATTTTTATGCATGTGTATGTGGGGTTCACATATGTGTGCAGGTGCACAAGTATACATGTGCAAGCCAGAAGTGGATGCCATGTTTACTCCTTCCTAGGTATTTATTTTATTTTTGAGACAGTATCTTTCGATGAGCCTGGAGCTCACTGTTTTGGCTAGGTTGACTGATAGATAATCCCCCAGGATCTGCCCCCAACAATGGACAGTGTCACACAGGCTGTACATAGTTGTTGTGAATCCAAATTCAGGTACTCAATGCTTGTGAGGCATTTTACTCAGAGTCACCTCTCCAGCCTCCATTTTAATTTTTTGTTGTTGCTATTTGTAACTCTTTGAAGCTGAGTCTTATGTCAGAATACAAATAAGGAAAAACAACAATGCAATAAGAAATGTAGAAATACCAATGCCTTGGTGTCAGCCAGAATAGTGACTGACAAGTGTGAACCATATACAAAGCTCCCAAGTTCTATGTATCAAGAGCCAACATTTCTGACATGCTGGGAGCCTATATTCCTTTTTAAAATATTCTTAAAAGTCTAGAAATAATTGCTGAAACTTTGGTTTACAGGTCACCAAAATACACCAAATACACATACAACTGAATAACTACCAACTCCCTGAGGTATGTAATTCTATACTATGAATCATGATTGTTGATGTATAGTACAGCTTGACAAATGGCTGAACAAGAATAATGATCTATAGATTTGAAGGGCTCATGTATTAAGTACATTTGGATTAATTCAAGTTTTGTCCTGGATGGTTTCAGTGAAAATTTACATGTTTTCTTGGGCACTTTACTAAGATTAAAAAAAAAAAAGATATTTGGAAGCTGTTGTTAAGGGTAGACCTTTGTTCTTCTCTTTGTTCTGCTCTATAAAAAGGGGCTTTTCTTCCTAAGAGCTTTCTTTGGGGAGGGGGCTTAAAGGACATTTCTATGTTTGCTAAATCTCATTCTCATGCATTATAAAAGTCCACCTGCCCTAGTTCATCTAACTGGGACTTAGACACACACCAATGTACTTGGCTTCTTCAGTCTATGGTTTCTAGGAAGCTGCAGTCCCCTGATCAATCATAGAACAAGAGAGAATGTTAACACACTATTCTCACTCTTAATGTGGCTTCAGGTTTTGTTGTTATTATTGTTACTGTTTGTGTGGGTTTGGCTTTTGTTTTGAGGCATAGTATCACTAGGGAGCCTTGGCTGGCCAGTAACTAGTTATGTAGATCAGGGTGGATTTACAGAGATCCATCTGACTCTGTTTCTCAAGTGCCTAGATTAAAGGTATGCACCCCATGGCCATGTTGGTACAGTCTTAAGGATACCCAGCCAGAAGTGCAAGATTCGGTGACTATCTCAACTGGAAGAACTGATTAAAATGTTTCCTAGGACTAATACTATATTGTTATTAAATCATCACTATTTAACTGTTATAATAGTCAATTTTCTGAATCAAGAAATTATATATCCAATTTATAGGCTAGGCCAATGCCACGGGTGGAGATGTAAATATACTCTTTGTACAGAGAACAAAATTGTGACTTTTGTTTTTTGTTCTATTCAGAGGAGGTATTTTAGGTCATTGAGTTTCTTTGTGAATGGGCTTTTACTTATGCATAGATGCAGTCTGTACTTTGTTTAATGCTTTGCTCTTGCTTTCTTAAAGTTTGTATTACTTTCTTAACAAGGAACTCTGCATTTTTTATTTTGAATAGTGCCCATGAGGTAATGAGGTTATTTTTGCCTGTATTAACTGTTTTTATTTATCTCTAGTTCCCTGTAGAGTTTCAGCATGATATCTATTGAACAAATGAATGAACCTTTCTCTTACTGAGAGCAAAATAAACTATCTACTATTGCTTTTGCATGGCTATAGGTCTATAGTTTAGGTCACTATTTTCCCAAGATGAATTCAGATGAATCCTGACATAATGAGGGAAATGATTGAATGATAGTTTAGAAGAAGCACAGAGACCAAATAAATTTTAAGAAATATAAGTGTATTTTCTAGATATTAGGTGGGTAAACCCTACCTAATAGATACCTACCTATCTATCTCCCAACTATTTGAATCAGGATTTCTTGGAAGTGGACCCAGGAAATTATATTAGAAACTCATTGGTTGTGGTTTTGGCTGTGTATATGTTTCTGTCTTCCAATGTAAATATCTGCAAAGGCCGAAGATCTGTGCCCAGTTATGCACAAGTTTTGATTGAACAAGAGGTTTGTCTAGGTCATTATGGGGTAGAAGGCTTATTGTGATACCAAGAGAGAAATGTAGGATAAAATAGGAAAAGTCTACACTTGGAGTAAGTTCAGTTTACCTATGTATAGGATGGTTCTGTGTGAAGATATCAGCCAAGTCTGACATGTCTAATGTGCTGTTCCTTGAGAGGGATAAGATACTCTATGTAGCTTGTGCTAATAGATAGACTCAGTGATGGTTGGTTATACAAACCAGGTCATGGTATAAAGCACCGGCTTATTGCCAACTACTATTCTCTTCATGTGTCCCAGCTGAGATAACTAGAGAATATAAACTATGTGATGCTCCTGCTGATCAGCCTAGTGCCTTTTTTGGTATAATCTTGGCATGGATCTGACCAGAACAAACAGTGTGTGAAGGAGTTCTCTGAAGTGAGTTGAGGTAGTGGGTTAGTCTGCTTCTCACAGTATGCTATGATGGCCACATTGTCCTTCAGAAAGCAAGGGTTATTACAGAAGTGTAGATTATATGTATCTCTTGATGACAGATTGCATAGGAGATGGAAGCGACAATACAGAATGAAACCTGTAACTCTGGGAATGATGGAAACATGTGAAGCTCACATTCTAAATGAGAGTGTCTTGTCTCTGAAAAGACACGTGATAAAGAAATTTCACAAGATGCAGAACCTTCCTGAAATGTGCCTTGCCTAGAAAGAAGGTCACATGCTCAGAGGGGCGTGCATCTGCAGAGCTCAGAAGCAAAGGGCTGTCAACTAATTCCAAATTGTCATTGTCTACCATTGTGAAGACTTTTCAGATGGAGACACAAGGAGACTGGCCATAGTGAGTAGAGCAACAGGAAGGACAATGACTAGCAGCAAAGTGTAAGGGTCAAAAGTTACCCAGAGATTATCATGTTCTGAGTACCTACCATATACATACTAGGTAGTTATACAACCTAGGTACAGGTAATACAGAGGTTACAGAAGACAAGCATAATTCCTAATTTCATGGAAGCTGAATTTTGGCAGATCAAGGGAAAGACAATACAATGTAATATGAACACATCGTGATAGAAATGCGATTTAGTACAGCCATCATGGAAAACATTCAGAGGTTGCTTGACTTAAAAATAAATTGCCATATGGTCCAGTCTTCAACCACTGGGGATATACCAAAATATTGTACAGCCAGGATGCAAAATGATGTCTGTATTCTCATGTTCATAGCAGGATTATTCATGGTATCCAAGACATGGCGCCAGCCAGTGTGCTCACCAGTAGGACAAAGAGCATGTCGTGTAAATGCACAGTGTGTTACTTCTCAACTTCAAATAAGAAAACTCTGTTATTGGCAAGAACATGAAGTAACCTAAAAGGTCACTACAATAAGTGAGATGTGCCAGGCATAGAAAAACAAATGCTGTGTGTAATCTTTAGATGGGGGATTGAAAAAAGCCAAACCCAGAGAAGAAAGGAGTAACATGGTAGGTGTGAGTGGGCAAAGTTGGAAAGAGGATGGGTTCATGAGATGACAGCTGAAGAATACAGAATTTTCTTTTGGAAGAGTAAGCTTAAGAGATCTGCTGTATATGTTGACAACTGTAGTTAAGTATAATATACTATATTAAAATTGCTAAGAGTAGTTTTAAGTATTCTCACCACAAGATGAGTATGAGATAATGTATATGTTAATAAACTTAATTAGGTATTCTACAATGTATACATAGCTTGAAACAAGCTATACATGAGAAATTATCCAATTTTGTCAATCAAAAATTAGGAAATGAAGGGTGGCTAACTGGTTCAGTGGATAAAAACACTGGCTGCCAAGTCTGACAGTCTGTTAATCCCTGGGGCTCACATGATGGAAAGAGAGAAATGACCTCTGAATGTTGTTCTCTGACCTCCACATTCATGATATGACATATCCATATCTACTCACACCTAAACTATATAAATAAAATGTAAAAAGAATTAAAATTAGAGACTGTGGCTAAGGAGATGACTGTATGGTAAAGTACTTGTCTTTTGCAAGTGTGGGGACCTGATTTCAAATCCTCAGAACCCATAGAGTTGGGTTTGGCAATATGCATCTGGAATCTTAGTGTTTATATGCAGAGATAGGCAGACACAGGAGAATTCCCAGAAGCTTTGGGGTCAGCTAGTCCATCTTCTGCAGTGGTGAATGATGTCTCAAACAAGGTGAAGTCAAGGACCAACTCCTAAAGTGGTTGCCCTCTGACCCTGTGTACTGTGCCATGCATACACCACAGGAATGGCCAAGAATGTGCATATGCACATATACATGACCACATATCATACACCCACACTGAGAAAATGAATTAAGGTCATATCAGAGTTGTGAGTATTAAAAAGAGATGAAAATATGAAAGATTATGGATTTTACAGAGCTTCCTGGGAGTATAGAAATATTCTCCTTTTCTTTCCTTTCTCCAAATATGCAGCTAGACAATGAGTTCATTTGTTACAAGCTCCATTTTCTTATGTCATAAGATACTCTTGATCAAGTCATTGTAGAGCTGAGTAGTGTGACATATGGGGCTTAAACTGAGTTCAGTGCTGTCTATCATGCTAGTACTATGGTATTAAATAGTCCATTTCTAAATGTCAGAGGTGTATCAAGTAAGAGATATGGTGGTTGACTGTAATTGCCAACTTAATACACTCTAAAGTCATCTGGTAAGAGGGTCTCAGTGAGGGGTCTGAGACTTGTCTAGATCAGGTTGGTCAGTGAGCATCTATCTCTGTGCAATATTGTCTTGATTATATTAATTGAGGTGGGTGGGTGGTTCACTATGGGTGGTACCATTCCCTAGGTAGAAGATCTGAAACTATATGTGTGTGTGAAAAGGCTAGCCACTTCAAGTTCCTGCTTTCTTGACTTTCCCCACAATGATGGATTGTAACCTGGTATTGTGAGCTAAAATAAACACTTTCTTTCCTAAGTTGTTTTTGCCAGGATATTTTTTTTAATCACAGAAACAGGAAATAAAACTAAGACAAATGCTGAAGCATGGAAGATTACAGCAATTTTACTATCTTCATATTTCTTATGACTATGTTTGCTTGATAAGAAAAATAAAAGCAAAGTGTCAGAAATTTATTACTATTAGCATTTAAACCACTTGTGGCAAGTTTCTCTCTAGTTTGAATTTATTAATATAAATTAATAGGATGACTATTAAGGATGTATTTTGATTTTCAATAGATATTATGGAATGAGAAAATATGTGGAATCTAGCAAGTGGCATGATGCTGCCTAATTTGAGAGATAATACATGATGTATTTGGTGCTGTATGGATGCAAGAATGGTCATCTTAAACATTTTGAGGTCTCAGAAGGAGAAGGGAACTGGGATTGTCATGTAAAACAATCCTGTTTCTAATTCA